CGGAGCTGCTCCGGAGGAAGCCGAGCCTCCCCCCAGGGCGACCGAAGTGAAAACACATTCGTCGACCACCGGCACAAGGAACAGGGAATCGTCCCCCAGCTGGTACCTTTTGACAAGCTCAGGCAAGTCAAAACGGAGGCGTGACCCAACCAGGAGGGGATCCACCACGTCCTGCACCAGGGACGGCAGAATGCGGAGCAGCGTCTGCGTGGGTTGCCTAGGGGCAAACGCCTCGCCTGGCAAGCGGAACTCAGTCGAGTCGAGTCGAGTCGAGTCGAGTCGAGTCGGCTGGTAGGCACCGCGGCCTGGGGAATATACTCGGCAATGCGTTGCCGGACCTCCCGCAGAGCCGTCGAGAAACGGAAGGCGCCCTCCGGCTCCTCGACCTCCCCAATGTCCATGGACTCAGCACCCGAGCCCGGTCCGAGGCTGGGTCTCCTCGCGAAGAGGACCCGAACCCTGACCCGGTTGGCGGCCTAGCACCAGACACAGAGGGAAGGGAAGAACCGAAGGAGCAGCCTGCTTCAGTACCCGACACCACACTCGAACCCCGGTCCCGAGACGCTGGAGGAAGACCAGGCAAAACTGGTTCCTCCTCTCTCATGGGGCGGGACGGTGCAGGGACCGGAACCCCAGGAATCCTCAACGGACCCTGCGCCAACACCGAGAGGGGGACTGGGAGCGAACCCTCCCCCTCTGGGGTAGCCGAGGCGTCTGGACCCGAAGCCAGAGGATCTACAGACGCCTCCAGGCCAAGGGATCGAGCCAGGCTCGGCGATCCCACCCTGGACTCTCCGTCCCCTGATCCGAGTGGGCGAGGAACTCCTGGCGGAGACCTCCAACCGACTCGTGAACAAGGGACTTCACGGAGTCCATGTGCTGCTGAAAAAGCTGTGTGATAAGTGACATGTCAAAACCGCTAGGAGCAGTAGAAGGCGCCTGACTGCGCGACTTAGCCTTTTTGCCTTTAGTTTTGGGTTTTTGGGCTTTAGACGGGGGGACCTGGGTCAGTTCCCCTCCCGCCTCTCGCATTTCCCGATAAAAGAGGAAATCTGCAGCCCGCCTCTTCTGGGCTCGGGGGGAGAAGCCCATACATATCTCACACGTGTCGGGATTATGTCCGCCTTTTTCAAGGCATACGAGACACTTGTCATGACGGTCTGCACGGGGAATACCTTGCCCGCAGACAGTACAACCAGAAAACGCCTGAAAGCAAACACGCAAGCATGTAGCTAACAGCGGACCAGCAGCGCAATATACACGTACAAAACATTGAAAATTACGTGAATGCGACCACGGGTAGAAATACTTGGTTAAAACGCAATATGACAACCATGTGGCACGCTAACCTTCCCGCCATGGAATAGCAACACGTGCGTAAACCACGGGAAAGTGGAAAGCGTAAAATAATTAATACAAAGTCACAAATATGAGACAACCGACCGCAAAGCTTTACTGTTCCATTCAAGGACAAAATAAAGACCATACATACAGGTGGTGGAGTCCCAGACATTATTCTCTCTAACTTCTTATAACAGAAAGAGTTCAGCTCTACTCGACACATCCGTCCAGTGGAGTGACAGCAGAAGGAATGATATGGGCCTAGGTGCTTACCCAGTTGGCTGCGCATGCGCAACGGGAGGTAACTCCACGAGGTGGGGGCCGTATAATAAATAAAAAGATTTTTATTTATTGTACAATATTTTTATTAAAAAACATTGATACAACTGTCACAGGACATTTTCAGCGCAGAAAATGCATATATGTACCCCAAGGACGATCTCTATGAAAAAGAATGACTGGGCCCTGGGCCTTCCCTAGATGAAGCTTGGTGTCAAATATAAAGAAAATCCATTGAATATTTTTTGCGATATCTTGATGACTATCTTAACAAGCAATTTAACATGCTGAAATCTTCAAAGTGTCTCTGTGACCTTGAAACTTAAGTGAAGGTCATGAAAATCGACTGGGCCCTGCGCCTTCCCTGGATGAAGCTTGGTGTCAAATATGAAGAAACCCCTACAAATTATGTGAAGGTCACCAAAATTGACTGGGCCCTGGGCCTTCCCTAGATAAAACTTGGGGTTGAATATGACGAAAATCCAGCGAACGGTTCTTGAGATAGCTTTACATGCAGGTTTACATGCTGAAATCTTCAAAGTGTCGCCATGACCTTGAAAATTATGTGAAGGTCACCAAAATCGACTGGGCCCTGCGCCTTCCCGAGATAAAGCTTGTGAATGGTTCTTGAGATAGCTTAACATGCAGGTGAAAGTCCCCTTGTGACCTTGAAATGAAGGTCAAGGTCACCAAACCTGACTTGGGCCTTTCTTATAGTGTGATGAACCCAGGTACCAAATATGAAAAGAATCTAGTGAATGGTTCTTAAGATTCGTACGTACGTACGTACGGACGGAGCCTAATACTATATCCCCCGCTTCGCGCTAAATGCGCGGCAGAGGATAACAACAGGAATATATGGCAATGAAAGCATGTGAACATTCCCCAAAGCAAGCTCCAAAAGTAGTAGTACAGTGGGGGTTCTGCATCAGATGCAGCTTAGAGGCTTATTTGTGGAATTAAGCCTCCCATCCCCCCTTTATCGAGAGCACAAAAATGGTCAGGACTACTAGGATCGGTACTACCTTTTGCATTTCTACGCCTTTTTGCAACAAGACTACTCTGCTGGCTGTTTGTCCTTCTGGTTGTTTGCGGTATCCTAGAATGGACCATGTAGTATTTGCAACGTCTGCTATTTTTTTCGTTTGTGTATTTCGTAGAGCTGTTTCTACCTCTTTGCGAGCTTCTTCCGATCGCTTGTGTATTCCTTTTTCTCCCGTACTATTTCTCCTAGTCGCTCCAGTTCTTTTTCTCTACGCTGCTCTTGCTCTACCTGCCGTGCTGTCTTTCTGCCTTCTAGGATAGCCTATGCTTCTCTTCTCCATTCTTCCACACATGCTGCCTCTTGTATTTCTTGCAATCGTTTTCCTCAATCCCTAGCAGATCCAGAATATACTTCTCTGTCTTTTGCAATCTCTGGTACTTCCTGCAGTTGGAATTTGGAAGAAGCCTTGCCTATGGTGCTACATTTGGCTGTTCACCATTCCCACTCTACTGTCTTGCAAGAAGGCAATAGAATACTTGGATCAGCTCCATTTGGATGTAGCTGGGTTGGTCTTCTACTCGCAGACAGTATCGTTTTGGCATCGGGATCCTTTGTATAGCAACGTAGTGAACTCCACACCAGTATCTGTAACGGAGAGTATATCTACCCGAAATATTGGACATGCTCGAAAACCAAAATCTGCTGCAGCCCATTCTATCGCTTTCTCCCACGTAGCATCGTCGTCTCTTCTTGTAGGAGCAATACAGACCCCAGAAATTCTACCCGTCTCCGAATGTGCATACCAAGCTACGAACATGGTGCCCTGTGGGCGATCTGCCAGAACGAGACAGCGGTCTAGACATTTTGATAGGTTTTCCCATTGTTTTGCTGGTGGTTGTACTACAAACAAGTTGGTGTCTGGAGGAGATACCATCTCTAGAGTTTGTTCTACCAAATCGTTTGCTATTTCTTCCGAGTTGTGTGGATGTGCGTAGAGTGAAACTTCTATGCGAGTACAACCACGGGCTTGCACGTCTGGATGCAGGAAAGTTTTCTGCAAGTGTTGGTTTGGGCAATCCACATAGTCTGCCAGATGTCCTCCGATTTGCTCCCGGACTTCTGCTTCGAAATTGGAAACAACCTTGTTGTAGAGTTTCGTTCGCATTGTATAGCCATTCCAGGTCTCGACCCAAGTACAGATGTGGACCCCAACACTACCCGTATTGTCTAGAATTGTTGGACTGTTCGACTGCATAGCAGAAGACAAGTTTCCTTGCTCTCGGAAACCATGTTTCTTCCAAAGGTATTCCACCAGTCGCTTGCGGTCCAGCACACCAGAGAAATCTCTTGTATAGTCGATAGAATACAGCCCATAGCCGTGTGCTAGTAGTTGTCGTTCTAGTTTTGGAATCAACGTTTGTAGCTTGCTGATGGGTATTTCGGAAACGTCTATCTTTGCTACGAATAGAGCGTATGTATTCTCTTCCGGATATAGTCCTTGCCACTTGTCTTTCGCTTTCTTTCCGGTCTCTCTCTCTATTCTAGCGATGGTGCTCCGTATTGCTCCACAGTTGTCTTCTCGTATTCCTATCGTGTGTAGGATATTTGTTTGCGCATGTTTGGGGTACGCCAAAGACTCTTGTACTGCGATGGAGATTCTGGAAACGACGAGCTGTGCGGAACCTTCCCTTCCAGTCGTACAGGATACTTTGGCATTCTCACAAAGGCAGTCTTTGCGTTGGAGGTAGCCAAACATGTATATATTGTCTACAAATGTAGGTAGACCTTCCAAAGGTTGTAGATTGGTTCTACCAAGATGGCCAGCAAGATAGTCGACGTCGGCATTTGACACAAGGTTGTTGTCTACAGTATTTTCTAGGAGTAGATGTGCTCCTACAGACTTTTCGATCCGCAGGCCCATTTGTTGGAAAGTCGTTTCGGTTGCCATCTTCTGCAATATGTAGTGCTATACATTGGAACTACCAAATCTTTAATTGGAAATTTTCGACTACTTTTTGGGGGTGTGGGGGGTGGGGGTAAATGCTAAAAGGTAGTACCGATCCTAGTAGTCCTGACCATTTTTGTGCTCTCGATAAAGGGGGGATGGGAAGCTTAATTCCCACAAATAAGCCTCTAAGCCGCATCTGATGCAGAACCCCCACTGTACTACTACTGCAAAACATAATATTTTGACCGCCATGAACAATGTGACCTTGGACAGCACATGCAAGGGCTGGTGTGCCACTGTTACTATTGTCACTTGGGCTCTGTGAGCGGACATATTGTCTTCTCGGAACAGTCCGATGCTGAGTCATGACAACCTCGGCCCTTGACATGAATGTCTCAACAAGAACCCGGAGAAAGAGATCTGCAGACAGGAAGAAGCGCTACTCACCGATCCTTCAGCTCCTTCATGATGTAGCGTGCACAGATCTCCTGAAGAAGGACAAACAGTCAAGCTCTCTCAACATACTTAAAAGCAGGTAGGAAATGTGGCTTCAACATCCACAGTTCTTTACTAGCAAAACCACGTCTAGTTTGTGGCTGTCCAAAGTGATAAACTTGGACAAGAAAATATTTCACTTAATGAATGTTATGGAACACACAACGACAGCGGTACAGTCTACAGATGGGGAAGGTGGGGGTGGTTCGTCTTGCTGTACAGTCTACAGGTGGTGAAGCGGGGGAGGTTCGTCTTGCTGTACAGTCTACAGGTGGGGGAGGTTTGTCTTGCTGTACAGTCTACAGATGGGGAAGGTGGGGGTGATTCGTCTTGCTGTACAGTCTACAGGTGGGGATGATTCGTCTTGCTGTACAGTCTACAGGTGGGGGTGGTTCGTCTTGCTGTACAGTCAACAGGTGGGGGTGGGGGTGGTTCGTCTTGCTGTACAGTCTACAGGTGGGGGAGGTTCATCTACAGGTCCTGTCTTGTTGTACAGTCTACAGGTGGGGAAGGTGGGGGTGGTTCGTCTTGCTGTACAGTCTACAGGTGGGGTGGTGGTTCGTCTTGCTGTACAGTCTACAGGTGGGGTGGTGGGGTCGTCTTGCTGTACAGTCTACAGGTGGGGAAGGTGGGGGGTGGTTCTCTTGTCTTGCTGCTGTACAGTCTACAGGTGGGGAGGTGGGGTGGTTCGTCTTGCTGTACAGTCTACAGGTGGGGGGGGTGGTTCGTCTTGCTGTACAGTCTACAGGTGGGGGAAGGTGGGGGTTTGTACAGTCTTGCTGTACAGTCTACAGGTGGGAGGTTGGGTGGTGGGGGTGGTTGGTCTTGCTGTACAGTCCAGGTTGCTGTACAGACAGTCTACAGGTGGGGTGGTTCAGTCTGGGGTGGTTGCACAGTCTTGCTGTAGCTGTCACAGTCTACAGGTGGGGAGTGGTCTGTTCCTCTTGCTGTAGTCTACAGGTGCTGTACAGTCTACAGGTGGGGAGGTTCATCTTGCTGTACAGTCTACAGGTGGGGGTGGGGGTGGGGTGTTAGTCTTGCTGTACAGTCTACAGGTGGGGGGCTGCCTTGGGGTGGTTTGTCTTGCTGTACAGTCTACAGGTGGGGGGTGGTCTGGTTTGCTGTACAGTCTACAGGTGGGGGGTGGTCTTGCTGGTCTACAGGTGGGGTGGTCTGTCTTGCTGTACAGTCTACAGGTGGGGGTGGGGGTTTGTCTTGCTGTACAGTCTACAGGTGGGGGTGGTTTGTCTTGCTGTCTTGTCTTGCTGTACAGTCTACAGGTGGGTGAGGTTCTGTCTTGCTGTACAGTCTACAGGTGGGGAGGTGGGTTGCTGTACAGTCTACACAGGTGGGGGTGGTTGGTCTTGCTGTACAGTCTACAGGTGGGGAGGTGGTTCATCTTGCTGTACAGCTGTACAGGTGGGGACAGGTGGGGTGGTTCATCTTGCTGTACAGTCTACAGGTGGGGGAAGGTGGGGGTGGTTCTGTCTTGCTGTACAGTCTACAGGTGGGGAAGGTTCTGGGTTGGTGTACAGTCTTGCTGTACAATGGTGGGGGACAGGTGGGGGGGGAAGGTGGGGGTGGTTCGTCTTGCTGTACAGTCTACAGGTGGGGAAAGGTGGGGTGGGGTTCATCTTGCTGTACAGTCTACAGGTGGGGAAGGTGGGGGTGTTTCGTCTTGCTGTACAGTCTACAGGTGGGGAAGGTGGGGGTGGTTCGTCTTGCTGTACAATCTACAGGTGGGGAAGGTGGGGGTGGTTCGTCTTGCTGTACAGTCTACAGGTGGGGAAGGTGGGGTGTTTCAGTCTTGCTGTACAGTCTACAGGTGGGGAAGGTGGGGGTGTTTAGGTCTTGCTGTACAATCTACAGGTGGGGAAGGTGGGGGAGGTTCGTCTTGCTGTACAGTCTACAGGTGGGGAAGGTGGGGGTGGTTCGTCTTGCTGTACAGTGTACAGGTGGGGTGGTTCGTCTTGCTGTACAGTCTACAGGTTGGGGAGGCGGAAAGAGGGGGTCGTTCATGTTCAAGAGAGATAAGTCTGATGCTCTACCTGTGTCCTTACCTTTAAAGACAACACCTCTTCCTCCTGTACTGAGTGTACAGGTATATGCTGCAGGAGGGGGTTCTCCTCGCAATGAATCTCCTTCAGGGGGAGTGCTGCAAACTGGACAGGAATATCAACAGCTAGTCGTGATAGGCATAGAAATATATACAAACAACACAAACAATATCTTACTGATGATAATCAATTAGCCAAAATCCCTAGCCCGTATGATAAACATTAATCTGAAGACCACCCACCTCTGTAGGAAATATCCGGAGTTCATTTGCTGCGATGTCAATCACTCTCAGCCTGTAGCACTTACTCAAACTCTGCAATAAAATAATAATAATCATCATCATCATTTTGACTCACTGCCTGTGCCACATGACTGTTCTACTGTCTACTTCCTGTGCACATTACATCTAAGAATAACAGCTTGTTAACAAATATACAAACAGAAACAGAGTCGGAAACAAAACATTTTTCGCTTACATAAACTTTAATCATCAGGTTGCGTCATACTTTCAGCATCAAGATACATAACATTATGTTCTGTACCCTGATCCACTGACTGACTTTTGATTCTCGGCTGTCCTACCTCTGGTAGTTCTCTGATCTGGTTTTTCTGCAGATGTAGCTTTTCCAACCCAGTGAGGAACCCGAACTCCAGCGGCAATGACGTCAGCTGATTCCCTGCAGCATGAAGCTCCTGCAACTTGGTGAGAGCACAGAACTCGATGGGCAGCTCTGTCAGTAAGTTGTTGTCCACACTTAGGTGCTGAAGGTTGGACAGTCTGGAGAAATACAAAACAACAGAATGCTAAATAACTTGTTGAGAACACAGAACTCCATGGGCAGCTCTGTCAGTAAGTTGTTGTCCACACTCAGGTGCTGAAGGTTGGACAGTCTGGAGAAATACAAAACAACAGAATGGTAAATAACTTGTTGAGAACACAGAACTCCATGGGCAGCTCTGTCAGTAAGTTATTGTCCACACTCAGGTGCTGAAGGTTGGACAGTCTGGAGAAATACAAAACAACAGAATGGTAAATAATTTGGTGAGAACACAGAACATGAGAATATAAACCAGGTGTACAGTGTACAATCACACAATTCTTACCTACAAATCTCTGGAGGGAGTGTTTTTAATTTGTTTCCATTGAGATTGAGGAGGGTGAGGTTCACAAGGCCGCCTGGAACACAAAATAATAAGCAGATTGTAGACACTGAGGGAAGATTGTCCCCCCCTCACACTACACCAGAGAAGATTCTCTTTACCAAACACTTCCTCAGAAAAGATTCTTTTCTGCTCACACTACATGAGAGAAGGTTCTCTTATACAAACACGACACAAGAGAAAATGTGCTTGTACAAATACTGCACACGAGAGAGGATTGTGTCCTAGAAACACCACAGTAGCCTGTCATTAGCCCAAGATATGCTGCTTCAAATGACATGTCTCATTGCATAGGATTTATTGTCATGATATCATCAAGGACAATCATATTCATTGAGAGCCTGTCACTGTGGACTGAATTTTCTCTGATACTTACTGAGAGCTTGTGGGGTAAGCGTTGTCAGTTTGTTATTAAAGAGGTGAAGCTTGTCAAGATTTCTTGCTGACTTCAGAACTTCTGGTAGTACTTCAAACTCATTATTGCCAAGATTGAGCACCTCAAGCTGTAAATGCAATCAATCTTGCAAGTCAGCTGTCATGGTTATGGAGTGCCAAGTTACATGGCAAGTTTCAGCTTCAAACCGATTTTTGAGGAGATGATGTCTTCATTGAGACGAACGGCAATATGTCCAATGACCGATTAACCCAAGGAGTGTACATATGAAGGAAAACCAGGTTCTATGGACAGTCAACTTCTTTATTGTAAAGAGTGCGACTTTTCGGTATAGGTACTAACACTGTTGTAAAGCAAGTGAAGATAACGGTGTTAGGACCTACACCAAAACGTCGCACTAGGACCTACACCGAAATGTCGCACTAGGACCTACACCAAACGTTGCACTAGGACCTACACCGAAACGTCGCACTAGGACCTACACCAAACGTTGCACTAGGACCTACACCAAAACGTTGCACTAGGACCTACACCGAAACGTTGCACTAGGACTACACCGAAACGTTGCCCTAGGACCTACACCGAAACGTCGCACTAGGACCTACACCGACTAGAACGTCCGCGCTAGGACCTACTCAAACGTCGCGACTAGGACCTACACCGAAACGTCGCACTAGGACCTACATGGGCATGTACTAGGACCTACATGGACACATCGCACTAAGACCTACACCAACATTTCACACTAGGACCTACACTGACACGTAACACTAGAACCTACACCAAAACGCCACACTAGCACCTACACAGAAACGTCGCACTAGGACCTACACCAAAACGTCGCACTAGAACCTACACCAAAACGCCACACTAGCACCTACACAGAAACGTCGCATTAGGACCTACGCCAAAACGTCGCACTAGAGCCTACACCGAAACATCACACGAGGACCTACACCAAAACGTCGCACTAGGACTTACACCGAAACGTTGCATTAGGACTTACACAGAAACGTCGCACTAGGACCTACATGGTCATATCGTACTAGGACCTACATGGACACGTCGCACTAGGACCTACACCAACATTTCACACTAGGACCTACACTGACACGTTGCACTAGGACCTACACAAAAACATCGCACTAGGACCTACAGGGACCTGTCGCACTATGACCTACACCGAAACGTCACACAAGGACCTACTCCGAAACGTCGCACTAGGACCAACACCAAAATGTCGCACTAGGACCTACACCAAAACATCGCACTAGGACCTACACCAAAACATTACACCAGGACCTACATCAAAATGCTGCGCTCATTGTATAAAGAAGTTGACTATCCATAGAACCTTGTTTTGATTCATTTATTTAACTTCTAAAATGCCTCTCAAAGGAGTGTTCATGACTGAAATTTTCATTCAGTATACCTAATGCATGAAAAATGAGACAGATTGCCTGAAATTAAACTCTGTAATTTAATCTCCTCATTTGGATCTCTGTTAATCTTCCTCAAATCTAAGTAGCTTGGTAGAAGCATGCTTTGTTTGTTTGTTGTTTAACACCATATTGACCAATATTCCAGCTGAATGACAGCGGTCTGTAAATAATAGAGTCTGGACCAGACAATCCAGTGAGCATCATTCTATGCAATTGTGAGTTGAGTTGAGTTTTACGCCGCACTCAGCAATATTCCAGCTATATGGCGGCTATGCAATTGTGATGACATGTGGGGTCAACCATACATGTCAGCAAGCCTTACCACAAGATCCCGTTAGTCGCCTCTTACGACAAACATATGGGTTACTAAAAACCAATTCTAACCCGGATCTTCATGGGTCTGTACAAGCAGACAATGGTATATAAGAACCAAATCGAAATGAATCAACGCCTTTCAACATCACCCTTCCCTTGACAGCAAAAGCCCCTTACACCATCAACTGCCTATTGATATCTTTCAACATCACCCTTCCCTTGACAGCAACAGCCCCTTACACCATCAACTGCCTATTGATATCTTTCAACATCACCCTTCCCTTGACAGCAAAGCCCCTTACACCATCAACTGCCTATTGATATCTTTCAACATCACCCTTCCCTTGACAGCCATCAACTGCCTATTGATATCTTTCAACATCACCCTTCCCTTGACAGCAACAGCCCCTTACACCATCAACTGCCTAGTCATATCTTTCAACATCACCCTCCCCTTCCCTTGACAGCAAAGCCCTTCAACTGCCTACACCACAGCAAAAGCCCCTTACAATCAACTGCCTATTGATATCTTTCAACATCACCCCTTCCCTTGACAGCAAAGCCCCTTACACCATCAACTGCCCTTTCAACATCACCCTCCCTTGACACCATCAACTGCCTAGTCATATCTTTCAACATCACCCTTCCCTTGACAGCAAAGCCCCTTTAGCCCCTTACACAGCATCAACTGCCTATTGATATCTTTCAACATCACCCTCCCCTTGACAGCAAAAGCCCTGCCTTACACATCATCAACTTACACCATCAACTGCCTATTGATATATTTCAACATCACCCTTCCCTTGACTGCAAAAGCCCCTTACACCATCAACTGCCTATTGATATCTTTCAACATCACCCTTCCCTTGACAGCAAAAGCCCCTTACACCATCAACTGCCTATTGATATCTTTCCACCACTGCTACTGAAGATTCAAAAGCCCATTCACTAACTTAACTGGATAGTTTTATTGTCAATTTCAGAGCGCGTCATACAAACCCTGAATAATTTTGAAAGTGACATGGGCAACTCACTGGCTCCACATTTCATATGACTGATGGGCAGTGGGGATTGGTCTTAGAACAGTGTTTGCCATGATGCAGAAAACCTGCGTATTTGACGCTAAAAATCATTTCAAATACGCAGTGAATTTAGAAGCTTGCGTCATTGTTGATGCAATGCTACTGGGCCCTTAGTTCAAATAATCTAAACTTCAGTTTCAGTGCGATGACTGTTTTTAATTTGCTGAGAGTAACCGCTCAGTTCTGATTAAATACCTGACCTGCCTTACCTTGTTTTTTTGGTCATTATTAAACAATCACAGTTGATGTCTTGATGAAAGTTCCAAAAACATGTCCATGACTCCCTCTCATGACACTAGGGAGTCATGATGACTCCTAAATTTTTATGCCTAGGGCACACACTGTTAGAACTCATATTTGCTAATTCCTTGACTTTAGGGTGATCATGCCACATTGTGATGATAAATTGCCAAATCCTGACAGATAATATCTCTGCTATCTGCTTTAGAGCCAATCCAGATTGCTTTAGTCTTATCTATATTTATTCTTAATCCTGACATGCCATAAGAAATATTAAATGTGTCAAAAGTTGTATATTAACTTTCATCTGAGCCGTCATTAAAAGGTTCAGTATCATCGGCATTTTGCCCTAGTTTATATTCATTATTATCAATTACATTGCTCTTTATACTATCATTTTGTCTGATCATGCGTACAAGGACTTCAGCTACAAAAGGAAAAGGTTATGGTGATATTGGATCCCCTTGCCTACAGCCCCGCTCATTGGGAAAGAAATCAGTAAACTTGGACAAAGTACTGTGACTATGTGTCCCAGTCCACCCAGCTGTGAATGGGTACCTCGTTAGGATGAGAAAGCCACAATAACTCGATGCACCTAGTGGCTGCAAGAGTTGTATTCTCCCCAGGGAGTTGAGATTGATAATACAATGTGCCATTGAGATTGACATCCAATGATCGAGGGAAAAAATATCAGCGCCTTGAGCATGCACTAGTTGTGTGGATATATGCGCTATATCAATATCCTATTAGATAAGATAAGAAATCAGAGAGATGTCCGATCTGAATGATACATGAGGTAGTTTCTTAAGTTAATATATTCATCCAGTGTATGATTTGTGGACCAAAACCAAATTTGAATAAAACAGAATTAATAAATTCCTTAGAAACTGTGTCAAATGCTTTTTCAAAGTCAATACGAATTAACAAACCTGGCATATGATATCTCTTCTTAGTCTCAAACATGACATCATATAATAGTCTTGTGTTTTCACTTAATGTGCTACCTGGTAAACTTGGCTCGCTGACTTGGTTGACACAAGAATAAGACAAAATATTATGGATGTCAACTTGTTCTTTACTGCATACACAACATTTCTGGGCTTTTCCTTGCCCCTTCATCAGGTGAATGAGACAAAGTTGAGGGTAGATTTACTTATACCGGTACCACTAAATATATTTTCTGTGCATGATTGGAAGAAAGCTTAAGGTTAGGGTTAGCAGGGTTAGAGTTATCAGGGTTAGGGTTAGGGTCAGGTTTAGACTCCTATATACAACAACAAGAAGTAGCTAATACAATGCTACAGGTATAAATAAAGTATCGTCAAGTCACACAAGTTCGATCGTCATGTAACTTTGATCGCCCATTTTGAATGGTAATTGTCGCAATACGTAGCGATAACTTACGATATCTGCAGCTTTGATCTTCTGGTGACACCACTTTCATTCGTTTGGACCGGAAAATGTTTCATGTCAAGTTACCAAATGTAAGTTATAGCTCATTTTCAGCAAACAACTACTTTTTAACCCTTAGATCAATAATGTAACTTTATCAGCTCAAATAAAATGTAAACAGTATAAATTTCACACGTTGTAAATTGACAGCACCCCTGTCTTCTGTTTGTTTATGTTGCTGGTCTAACTGTGACATGTCCAGACACGTGATATCCTTGTCAAAATTTAAAACTTTGGAAACAAGTAAGGGCCATTTCTTATAGAAAACTTAATGCTTTTTGAGAATTTCCGTGAATTTGTACCTGATGAAGTTCGAGCTATTGCCTCATTGATAAATACAACCTTGGCACAATGTAACCACCCTACATGTCAGTACAGAACACATTTACATTTCTGCAAGCAAGCTCGTGGTGTTTGTCTACATTCTGAGGTTTGATGCCCGTCACGATGAGCCTGAAGAATAATTCCCTGCATAATACTTGTATAATATAAGCTGAATATTTGTGACTTTTCATCGTTTATTGAAGTATTGAAACATAAAATGAACGTTTCATGGACATAAATACTGGGACTGCTCTAGCTCTGAATTTGACACAAGAGATCGTCCTTACAAGTCATCCTGTTTACGCGACAAGCCAGCCAATCATATGATCGAACTTATGTGACGAGGCTTTCTAGGCCACTTGTGTTGACAGTGATAGGGCGTCCATGCCGCGATTGTAAAAAGCAGTAAATATACCTGGATTTTGGAAATGTTTGACATAAATAAACAAGTTTAGAGGTAAGAGATTTGAAAATAAGATTATATGAATATAACTTTGAAAATTCAGCGACAGTTCTTAAGTGATCGAACTTATCATGGGACCCTCTATTATCATGGTAGTTAATGTTGTCGCCATCGGGATTATGAACGGCTACTGACATTTAGCATTTTATATATATTTTCAGTTGACTGATGTTTAATCTTCATTACTGTCACAAATAATGTGACACATAGTCGCAACTCGTTTAATACCATTGCGGCAAATCCGATTGTCTCGTTTGACCTGGAAATTGAAGCAACTCTCTATTATCGAGGTATTGCTATTTTCTTACTATGGCACTCTGTACAAGCAGATGACACTGTGAAACGTTTACGAAGACAAGTAATGAATCTAAATAGTTTGATCATTAAAAAATATTCAGGAATTTCATTCACCTTAGTAATAACATCATGTTTTTAACCCAAACATCTGAAACTTCTATTCATTTGGATACAAGGTAACAATAACATTGCAAAATATTGCTTTTCCGCCTTAAAACGTACAATACAAGGGGCTGCCGTGTGTAGAGTGAAGTTGCATAATACGTCACTTCCTGTTATATTTTTAGCACGGAAAATATGAAAATGACCTTATAGTTGTCGCAGGATTACTCTTGACGAAGTAAGTTTTGATTCATGCTAGATGTAATGGCAGTAGGGGTCATACTAGTTTCAAAATGTTCCAGAACTTACTGAAAATATGAATGCTTTAATATTTCTACGATTTGACATGACATTCCAATGAAATAAATGACTTTTTCAAGAGCGATGAATATATTTACGTAATTTGCACATGTAAACAGCCGATGCGGGCGTGCTGTTTCTGCTTTCCCGATGTTTTCGCGTGCTGCGATAATAGAGAGTCCCACTATACATGACACAAGGGTACGTGCTCCCAAAGTTGACACATCCCGGCAATTGCGTAGAGAGGCTCATGATATTGATCACTGGATTGTCTGGTCCAGACTCGATTATTTTCAGACCGCCGCCATATAACTGGAATATTGCTGAGTGCGGCGGTAAACAACAAACCAACCAACTGTTCAATATTAATTCATGATGAGAGTGAGTGAAGATACCATCTCTTCGCAACTTCGTTTTATCGGTCTTACCTGGTATAAATTTTCAAATTCCTGAGGCAAGTTCTGCAATTTGTTATTTTTTAACTGAAGCTGGACAAGACAATCTATCTTTCCAATTATCTTTGGTACCCTGTCAAGTTTCTTGTTGCATAAATTCAACTGTTTCGGTTTTCCCTGTAGTGCTCTCAGTAAAAGCGTGTCCGCCATTATTGTTGCTATCCATTCACGTGAAGCTGTTTCCTGTGTAGTTACGAACTAAAAAATAAAAACTAACACCATAAACTCAAAGTTAGCGACACAGTAGTAATTAGGTTCTTCTATGATTATAAATATATTAACTACTGTCAGGTGAAAAACAGCGTAATTTCCATGATTTACGAAACTGACACTGAGACAACTTTACATTAGTTTATGTACTTCATTTAGAAGAGTTCGTATTATGATTTTAGCACGTTTGGAGAGTGAAAATGTGATATAGGTTTCACGTGTTTATTTGATGTTGATTTACTGTAGATTCCAGTCACAATTTGTAAATGTAAATAGTCACCAGTTTTAACAGAGAAGACTGTTATTGATCCAACACAATGAGAAGATACAACGTGAGCGTTGTAACGCTTGAATCTTTTATAGCATTAGCAGAGCAGCCTGAAGAAGTGGGTCTGTTGTAACATAATTTTCTTGATCTAATAGTTCACATAACAAGTTACTGTCTAGATGCTGAAACAAAGCTGAATCATACAAAAACATCCCACCCACGAGAAAAGAATCCACTCATCAAAATTTAGTCGGCAGTTCATTAGACACACAAGAAATTTCTCAAAATGGCAAACCTTGAGGATGATCCGTCACTTCATTGTTTAGAGGGCAGTTCTGGAGAACAGAAAGGTGGACTTGTTATCATGAAGAAGGGACAATCAAACAAAACCCCACATATGTTCAAGAAACCAATAGGGTCTATACTTGGTCTGGATAAATTGGCAGCTGCTAAGCGTACCCAGAACAGTGATGTGCCAATGTCTCCCAAGAGATCCAAGGTCATGTCATACAGAGATGATGAAAATGATGACATTGAAGATGACGAAAATGATTCTAGAGGCACCAAAGATAAGAAACATGGGAAGGAGAGGTATGTGCCAATTCAAACTGTAACTACTGTAAGTAATACTGACCTGTCTACAAGGTTAACATAAGAAAAGCAAGATTTATGGATGTCAAATTCTTTATTGTGAATAACATGACATTTCAGAGTGTATGCTTACTCCTTCATCAGGTTAACCTGCTGTGAAAAAAGGCAAGATTACAGTCTAGCAGACCAGAGACCATATAATATTATATGGTCTCTGAGCAGACACAGCAAATAATGTTTTGGCCAGGGAGCAGGCTTCAGTAGTCGCTCGTGTCTCTTTGAGAGTCATTATCCTTAGGATTGAACACCCATTGTCATAGGCCTTGTGGTTACAGGTTAGCTACTCCTGTGACTTTCTTTCCTACATTCCCTTTAACATTCCAAAGGAAAATTTTGAAATGTTTGTGAGTGAGTGATCACAATGCCCTTCATCCATCAATCCATGTATACTGGAGTAATGCCCCAACTTTCATTATGTTTATGTCACCAGATGTCAATTAGCATCATTCAGAGACCTAATAAACATGGCCCTATCATCAGTTAGGGAGGGCCTTGTTAACAACACAGGTCAGCTTTATGTATGTATGGATTGTGTGTTTTCAGGCACTACAGGTCAGCTCAAGTTGAGACTCCCTCTCATCCAGGTGGGGTAAGCCGAGAAGCCAAGGAGAGGATGAAGGAACATCACAAAGAACTAGAGAGGGGAGTGTATGTGTCCTCCAAGGACAAAGAGAGTCGACATAAGGAGAGACACAGACACAAAAGGAGAGAGAGGGGTGGGTACAGTCATGGCAATAACACAGTAAAAACTTTAAATGCCACACTTTGACTTATATTGGTTTTTGTTTAAGTATTATGTGGCAACCTATTGTTTTCATGATTGAAATAGCAAGAATGTTCAAATGATGACATGTGGAATTGGAATGGAAACTGTCCCATGTAGGATATTCATCTAGCAGCTTACCAAAGTTTTAGTATTACTATAATTGTCCCCAGCCGCAATGCGGAACGGAGGACTATGTATTCAGCGGCGTCCGTCCGCCCGTCCCGATTCTTGTAAACGCGATATCTGATGAACTGTTGTACCCAATGTCTTCAAATGTAGTGACAGCCTACATTGGGGGATTGTGCATACACCAGTCGATTTCGGTGACCTTGACCTTATTTTCAAGGTCACCACGACACTTTGACCACTTTTCAAACTCTTGTAAACGAGATATCTTATGAAATGTTGTACCCAATGACTTCATATTTGGTGACAGCATACATTGGGGGATTACACAGACACCAGTTGATTTGGGTGACCTAGACCTTATTTTCAAGGTCACCACGACACTTTGACCACTTTTCAAACTCTTGTAAACGAGATATCTTATGAAATGTTGTACCCAATGACTTCATATTTGGTGACAGCATACATTGGGGGATTACACAGACACCAGTTGATTTGGGTGACCTTGACCTTATTTTCAAGGTCACCACGACACTTTGACCACTTTTCAAACTCTTGTTAGCATGATATCTCATGAACTGTTGTACCCAATGTCTTGAAATTTGGTGACAGCCTACATTAGGGGATTATGCAGACATCAGTCGATTTGGGTGACCTTGACCTTATTTTCAAAGTCACCACGACACTGACCACTTTTCAAACTGTTGTTAACGTGATATTTCATGCACTGTTGTACCCAGTGTCTTCAAATTTGGTGACAGCCTACATTGGGGGATTACAGGTTAGCGGCGGGGGACATTGCTGTATCAGTGGCAAACACTTGTTTATATTTCATTCAGCAGATATGGATACAGCTAAAACTAAACATGTTAAATTAACACTATATTGGACTATTCCTGGTAAAAAATTTCCATGAGATATTTTTCCTTTCAATCACTGGATTATCATGATCAAAATACTTCAAAGTTATATTATTTTTTCTTATCCTGACTCATGATCTTTTGCTTATCTCCCTTTCCTTTTCGAATGGTAGTGGAACACTTGAATCCCTTGAAGTTCCCTCAAGCAGAAAAATACACTCACCCACGAACCTCCCTTTTGCCCTTTCCAGCATAAAAGTCATGTGACCAGCTCACTCTCTCCCTTTTATTGGCGGATGGTTACGAAAGCACTGTCCCTTATTGGCTTTATATCCTTTTATTTAGGTCCTATTCTTCAAAATTACGCTGTATATGGATTTGACAATAACTACTATATATTATTTGTAAATATTTTGTAGGCATTTGTATTTGTGTCATCCGTTCATTGTTATGTAACTTTGTTTACATTTCATGAAATCTTGCAGTGTTTGCAGGCACAGGTTATCCGTGGCTGATCCTCACCCCCAATGCCCTAAATGCATAAAAACCATGTTCTTCAGCTTGCTGTACTTATTGTGTTGATTTATCCAATCTTCCATTTAATCAATATTTGTCTTAGATCTATAGACGTGCCATGGATCGGGTGAGGAAGTCATCTCGGGTCACGGCTGATAAAACAGGAGATCAGCCTGCAAACCGTATGTTGCTTGCTACAGCTGAAATTCATTATACTGGTGCTATGTTGAGTACGTTGCAGGGGCAGTCTGCTGGTACGGGCGAAGAAGAGATCGGCTACAAGCGCAGCTGACTCCGACTCAAGCTAAGAAAAGAATCCTCTTCTACGCGCCAGAAGAAAGCATCTGTTACCAGATCCTTAAATCTCTACCCGGGCTAGTAAGTCAAGCGCATCAGAAATCCTTCCAGCGAAAAAGATATTACCTCCACATGAAGTAGACCTTTTTGATGATCCCCCACTACTTCTACCCAAAGTGCCTACGAGATCAGCGACTCAATCTACGTCTACAACTACTAGATCGTCTCCTGCAACGGTCACAGCAGGCCAGCTGTTTTATGAACTACCACCTACCTCTCAACGGAGTGAAGTCGAGGCACACAACTCATCAGCGTTTGCGAACGCTTCTTCTACACCGCAGCATCTTCAACTAACGCAGAACTTTGACCCGGGTGAATTTATGAGACAATTTACCAACCAGATGACGACCATGATGGAACACAGGTTCAAAGAAGAAGCGAAGACTCGGCAAAGCCTTTCAACTACCGACACCGTGCGCAAACCTACGGACCTGCGCGAACCTACTGACCTGCGCGAACCTACTCCTCAGAGAACTACGTCTCAAGACTACGTTGGCGAACATACACCTTTACGAAGGTCTCCACAGTCGGACGACTCTGTCATCTTGGAGAAGGATAGAAGACATGAGATGCCTACTCATCATTCTACATCTGCGAACCTTCAACGTTCGAGAACATCGAAGGATCCATCTCCTACACCTAGCCTCTCTAGATCAAGATCTCACAGCCGTTTGCGAAGAGAAAGCTCACATCACAGAGGTTCAGCGAAGAGATGAATCATCAGATAGATGTTCGCGAAGAGATGAATCCACAGATAGATGTTTGAGGAATCCAGAGGTTAGCGAAGAGATCTCCACCACAGATAGATAATTGCGAAGGGAGGAATCTCAAGATGAGGTTCAAAGAATCTACAGACAGGGTTAGCGAAAGAAAGGATACAGGTTCGACAGGGATGGATGATGGATCTGTGAGGCCTAGCTCTAATAATCAGGAGACACTGGATCAGCAAGCTGACTTCGTCTTCCCAGACTCAGAGGTTACAGCATGTATTGCCAACGGGTTGAACTTGGAGTCTCCTTCTAAGGATAAAGATGAAGTCTACACTTATATGATGCGTAAGGACGACTTTGACTCCATCACTAGCATCCAAGTACCAGAGTCAGCATCTGCCATCATTTAATGTGAAGAGATCCCCTCTACATCATATGGATCCATTTACAAAGGCCCCGGAATGGGATGATAACATAAAGTTAGTCAACGACTCCCGGAACAAGATGTATAAAGTAGAAGATAAAAAGTTATGTCAACTTGATACTGCTACAAGGGGATCCTTCTTCGGGTTGGCCAGGTCCAGAGCTATGAAGGAAGCATTGATCAATAAATTCCAGAATTCAAGTTCGGAAGAGGACAGAATGATATATTCGGCGCTCATAACTCAGAAGAAGGACCAATACTTTTTATCGGACCATCTGGCATCTATATCTTCAGGTCTCACTTTACTACGCAGACAAGGGCTACTTGCATCCTGTTCATGGAGTGACAGATTCACCCAACCGCTACTGAGAGCTCCATGGGAGGCGCCTACTATCTTTGGAGGACAAATAGACGAGGCAGCTAAAGAAGCTATGCACGACTCTAGAGAAGTGATGATGATAAAATCCATAGATACTCCGGCCAACATCATATATAACAGCAAGTCAAAATATTCCGGCATACAGAAAGCAAAGGACAAGAAGTACTCCAGCTTCAGAGGCGGCAAAGGATCTTTTTGTCACCCATCCGGGAATTACAGAGGAAACTCAGGGAGAAGCCGCACTCCCAGAGAATCCAGAGAAACTAGACGTTGATATCAGGGTTCGGAACAACTGGAGCTTTCCACCCCCAGCCGTTCCTGTAAAACCATCGACAGTGGGTGGACGTCTACAAAGGTACTGGAAAAATTGGGGAATACTAGAGGATGACTACGTCTCCCAAGTACTACGTGAAGGATACAGAGTACATCTCAAGGTCACACCTCCGCTAACCCTCAGCCAGACGGTCTTCGACTATGCAGAGGAGCAGGCAGACAAACTACAAGAAGCAATCAACTCACTACTTATGAAGGAGGCGGTAGAGATAATAGATCAGCATCATCTCACTCCAGGCTTCTACTCCCCAATTTTTCTAGTACCCAAGAAGAACCCCAAGGAGAAGTTCAGACTGATTTACAACATGCGCAAATTCAACAAAGACTATCTACTGAAACCAGACAGGTTCAGAATGATCCACCTACCTCAACTCAGACTACTCGTCCGTCCAGCAGATTACATGTCCAGCATAGACCTGCAGGATGCGTGCCTACGAATCCCCATACATCCGGAATCAAGAAAGTATCTACGATTCCTGTTCAGAGGGCAGCACTTCCAATGGAACGTCCTACCGTTTGGAATATCTTTGGCTCCGTGGCTATTCACACGAGTAACCAAGCCTATAGTCACATATCTACATCATCGAGGTCTACGCAATGCCTTCTACTTGGACGACGGAATTCAGGTTCACCAAGATGCCAGTCAACTCATACTACAGCTGAACTTCACGATCAAATTGCTCACTCAACTAGGATGGCTGGTGAACCTAATGAAGTCAGAGTTGGAACCAAAACAAGATCTGCAATTTCTGGGGATAAAGTTTATCACAACACAGAATCGTATTATCGTCCCAGAAGATCGTTGGGTCAAGATACAAGCCATGATTCCACTAGCCGTCATCTCTCCGTTAACACTACGATCATGGCAAGTTCTACTCGGTCTACTAACCTCAGCGCAGGACTCGACTCGCACAGGAAGGTTACAACTAAGACCACTGCAATGGTTCCTGACAAAACATCTAGACAGCATCGACCCAATCTTGCTGCCAGACAACCGCTAGAGGTATCTACTGTGGTGGACACGCAGGTCGAACGTTTGCGGAGGGACCTATTTACAAGAGGGACCTGTTTACATCTCTACGCAGACGCCTTGATACAACTTGTATTACGAGGCTGGCGTGCGCATCTCAACAATCAAGTTGCATCAGGAAGGTGGTCCAAAATAGAGCAGCATCTTCACATCAAGCTGCTGGAGATGAAAGCCGTGATCAACGCCTTACAACTATGGTCGAGCTCGCTGAACAA